ATAAGCAGAGGTCCATGGGTGGTTGTGCACTCTGGAAAGGAATAAGCCTTAAGATCATAGAGGATGCTCTAAAACTAATGCTCATTGGAAAATGACTAGGGGTGCTGGCATCCCTACGTTCTTTTTTCAGATGGGAAGCTTTCTCCCCAAGGCAAAAACACCCCTAAGATGTATTCTGGAGAATTGGGACCAATTTGATCTTCAAATGCTAAGAAAGAAATGACATATTCTTCTACAGTACCGCCTGGCCACGATATCCTCTTCAAGCGGGAGAAACCTGGCCTCCCGAGGGAAGTATAAATTATTACACCATCTTATAGCTAGACCTCTTTTGTAGAAAAGAGGGCAAAAGGAGTGAAGTGCCATATGTGCAAACTTTCTTTTCATTAAGAGACAAGTTGCAGTTATATAAAAAGTGTAATTTATGCCCTATAGGAAGCCCTGAGAGTCTACCTCCCTACCCCAGCTCCCCCCAACTCCTTCCCCAACTAATAAGGACCTCCCTTCAACCCATATGGTTCAAAAGGAGATAGACACAGGGGTAAACAATGAACCAAAGGGGCCAATATTCCCCGATTATGCCCCCTCCAGGCGGTGGGAGGAGGATAATTTGGCCCAGTCAGAGTGCATGTACCTTTTTCCCTCTCAGATTTGAAGCAAATTAAAATAGACCTAGGTAAATTCTCAGATAACCCTGATGGCTATGTTGATGTTTGACAAGGGTTAGGACAATCCTTTGATCTGACATGGTGAGATATAATGTTACTGCTAAATCAGACACTAACCCCAAACGAGAGAAGTGCCGCCGTAACTGCAGCCTGAGAGTTTGGCGATCTCAGGTATCTCAGTCAGGTCAATGATAGGACGACAACAGAGGAAAGAATAATTCCCCACAGGCCAGCAGGCAGTTCCCAGTGTAGACCCTCACTGGGACGCAGAATCAGAACATGGAGATTGGTGCCACAGACATTTGCTAACTTGTGTGCTAGAAGGACCAATGAAAACTAGGAAGAAGCCTATGAATTATTCAATGATGTCTGGTATAACACAGGGAAAGGAAGAAAATCCTATTGCCTTTCTGGAGAGACTAAGGGAGGCAGTGAGGAAGCACACCTTGCTGTCACCTGACTCTATTGAAGGCAAACTAATCTTAAAGGATAAGTTTATCACTCTGTCAGCTGCAGACATTAGGAAAAAACTTCAAAAGTCCACCTTAGGCCCAGAGCAAAACTTAGAAACCCTATTGAACTTGGCAACCTTGGTTTTTTATAATAGAGATCAGGAGGAGCAGGCAGAACGGGATAAACGGGATAAAAAAAAGGTTACCACTTTAGTCATGGCCCTCAGGCAAGCGGGCTTTGGAAGCTCTGGAAAAGGGAAAAGCTGGGCAAGTTGAATGCCTGCTTCCAGTGCGGTCTACAAGGGCACTTTAAAAAAGATTGTCCGAATAGAAATAAGCCACCCCCTTGTCCATGCCCCTTATGTCAAGATAATCACTGGAAGGCCCACTGCCCCAGGGGATGAAGGTCCTCTGAGTCAGAAGCCACTAACCAGATGATCCAGCAACAGGACTGGGTGCCCAGGGCAAGCACCAGCCCATGCCATCACCCTCTCAGAGCCCTGGGTATGCTTGATTATTGATGGCCAGCAGGTTAACTGTCTCCTGGAGCAGACTTCTCAGTCTTACTCTCCTGTCCCGGACAACTGTCTTCCAGATCTGTCACTATCCGAGGGGTCCTAGGAGAGGCAGTCACTGGGTACTTCTCCCACCCACTGAGTTGTGACTGGGCAACTTTACTCTTTTCACATGCCTTTCTCATTATGCCTGAAAGCCCCACTCCTTTGTTAGGGAGACATACTAGCAAAAGCAGGGGCCATTATACACTTGAACATAGGACAAGGAACACCCGTTTGTTGTCCCCTACTTGAGGAAGGAATTAATCCTGAAGTCTGGGCCACAAGAATGCCCGTCCTGTTCAAGTTAAACCAAAGGATTCTCCCTCCTTCCCCTACCAAAGGCAGTACCCCCTTAGACCCGAGGCCCAACAAGGACTCCGAAGGATTGTTAAGGACCTAAAAGCCCAAAGCCTAGTAAAACCATGCAATAGTCCCTGCAATACTCCAATTTTAGGAGTACAGAAACCCAGTGGACATGGAGGTTAGTGCAAGATCTCAGGATTATCAATGAGGCCGTTGTCCCTCTATACCCAGCTGTACCTAACTCTTACACTCTTCTTTCCCAAATACCAGAGGAAGCAGAGTGGTTTACAGTCCTGGATCTTAAGGATGCCTTTTTCTGTATCCCTGTACATCCTGACTCTCAATTCTTGTTTGCCTTTGAAGATCCTTTGAACCCAATGTCTCAGCTCACCTGGACTGGTTTACCCCAAGGGTTCAGGGATAGCCCCCATCTATTTGGCCAGGCATCAGCCCAAGACTTGAGCCAGTTCTCATACTTGGACACTCTTGTCCTTTGGTATGTGGACGCTTTACTTTTAGCAGCCCATTCAGAAACCTTGGGCCATCAAGTCACCCAAGTGCTCTTAAACTTCCTTGCCACCTGTGGCTACAAGGTTTTCAAACCAAAGGCTCAGCTCTGCTTACAGCAGGTTAAATACTTAGGGCTAGAATTATCCAAAGGCACCAGGGCCCTCAGTGAGGAACGTATCCAGCCAATACTGGCTTATCCTCATCCCAAAACACTACTAAATGTTGGATGTGCCTCCCCCTGCATGTCAGGCCATACATTTCAATGCCTGTATCTTTAACCTCCTTGTTAAGTTTGTCTCTTCCAGAATCGAAGCTGTAAAACTACAAATGGTTTTTCTAATGGAGCCCAGATGCAGTCCATGACGAAGATCTACTGCAGACCCCTGGACTGGTCTGCTAGCCCATGCTCCTATGTTGATGACATCAAAGGCACCGCTCCTGAGGAAATTTCAACGGCATGACCTACTATGCCCCAATTCGGCAGGAAGCAGTTAGAGCGGTCGTTGGCCAACATCCCCAACAGCACTTGGTTTTCCTGTTCAGAGCGGGGACTGAGAGACAGGACTAGCTGGATTTCCTAGGCCGACTAAGAATTCCTAAGCCTAGCTGGGGAAGGTGACTGCACCCACCTTTAAACATGGGGCTTGTCACTCAGCTCACACCTGACCAATCAGGTAGTAAAGAGCTCACTAAAATACCAATTAGGCTAAAAGCAGGAGGTAAAGAAATAGTCAATCATCTATTGCCTGAGAGCACAGGGGGAGGGACAAGGATTGGGATATAAACCCAGGCATTCGAGCTGGCAGTGGCAACCCTCTTTGGGTCCCCTCCCATTGTATGGGAGCTGTTTTCATTCTATTAAATCTTGCAACTGCAAAAAAGAAAAAAAGTTTTAGATTTATGACTTTAAGAGGATTAAGAAAATTGAATAAATGTGTATAAGTTTGATTTATTAGATTTAAAGGGTTGAATAAAAATTTAGAAAGGTTTTGCCTAGTAGTGTTGTTTGCCCTGTCAGGTATTTAAAATATGAATATTAAATGTCACATAGTTAAAAATATTAGGAAATTTGACTTTTATTTCTAAAAAGCAAAAGTACAGTGCAGTGTTTAAGAGCATGGACTCTGGAACAAGACTGTGCAGGTCAAAGATCCACAAACTATGGCCTGGTCCCTGTTTTTGCATAGTCTGCAAGCTAAGAAGTATTTGACATTTTTTGGCTGGGCATGGTGGGTCACACCTGTAATCCCAGCACTTTGGGAGGCCAACGCGGGTGGATCATCTGAAGTCAGGTGTTTGAGACCAGCCTGACCAACATAGTGAAACCCCATTCTACTAAAAATACAAAAATTAGCTGGGCTTGGCGGCATGCGCCTGTAGTCCCAGCTACTCGGGAGGCTGAGGCAGGAGAATCGCTTGAACCTAGGAGGTGGAAGTTGCAGTGAGCCGAGATCACACCACTGCATGCTGGCCTGGGTGACAGAACAAGACTCTGTCTCAAAAAAAAAAAAAAAAAAGTATTTGACATTTTTAAATGGTTGGAAAAACATCAAAAGAAGAATAATATTTTGTAACATGAAAATTACATAAAATTCGTATTTCAGTGGTCATAAAAAGCATTACTGGAATACAGCCATGCTCATTTGTTTAGGTGTGGCCTATGACTGCTTTCGTGCTCCAACAGCGGGGTTGAGTCACTGTGACAGAGACTATATGGACTACAAAGCCAAAAATACTGACCTTTGAGCCCTTTACAAAGTTTGGTGACCCTGGTCTGGGTTCAAACCCCAGCTCTGCTATTTATTAGTATGACCTTGGGCAAGTCACTCAACTTCTCTGTGCCTCAGTTTCCTCTTTTGTAAAATGGGGGATAATAGTTATTATTAATAACTATTAGGAGGATTAAATAAATCAGTAGTTGAAAAGTGCTTGAAACAATGCCTGGCACACAATCAATGCAATATGTGTCTAAACATGGTAAGATTTAACCTATTGAACTTGAATTGTCAAACATTAATTAAGGAATAAGTAAAAATTATTATTTTTATTTTTTAAAAAATTACTACTTTTATGACTAGAATAAGAATTTAAAATTGAACCTGGATTAACAAAATCTAGGGTTTCAAATCCAGAGCTTCAGTAAATTAAATATTAAACTACAAAGTCACCCTGTTAGCCCTTTCTCAGCACCTCTGGGACTGTGGACCAAGTTCTGTGAATGATTCTATGGCCCAGGAGATCAAAGATCTCTAGGGTTTATCAGTAAGTCTTCTCTAAGCCTGGGAAGTGGGTGCCTGGAGTTATGCCTGGATTAAATTTTGACTTCCTAGCCGTCTGATTTTGCACAAGTCTTATCTGTAAAGTGGGTCTAGCAGTATCTATTTAATAGGGGTATTAAGAAGATTAGAAGCATTGAGATACACAAAGTGTTTTACACAACGCCTGGATTTTAGTAAACATCAGTTATTATTATTAGCATTCTTCCAAGATCTGCACACAAAGTGACTTACTGCTAATCCGTCGATAAACTCCTAGCAGAGCAGGTTATGTGTGTCGTGATGTTTAAGTGGTACTGGGAAACTCTGGTTGCCGTGACGTTCTGAAATTCTACTGTATCAGATGGGTTCCTCTAAACATTGCTCTCTCTACGGGTCCTGTTTTCAAAAGCATGCACCTTCTGGAGGGCATCTCTTCAGCCTTGTGTGGTTTAGTTTATCAGGTACTAGGTATTTTCCTCACGATGGCAGCCTGAGAACACGGGACACCCAAGGGCTGGGATTTGTGTTCTCCAGAAGAAAACGGGGCATAGGATTGGGGCGTCTGGAAGAGGGCAAAAAGGCAAGGAAAAGGAGAAATGTTGCACAGTCTTATGGTCTCTCCCCTGCCATTCTGTTCCCCTGGGGTGTCAGAACAGCTTCTCTGTCTTCCCAGGGATGAGTTTACACAGACATTCCCTGTGGGCCCCCCCGCCCCGAGGCCTCCACCTTTGAAACCTGCAGAGCAGCCAGGGAACAAGCCCGGCCCATGGCGCCACCTGCTGCCTGCCTGGCTCTCTGCTCGTGCACCCTGGGCTGGGATGGAACTTCTGTTCGTCTGGCACTACTGCCCTTGCTCATTTACCGGCAGCCCTGGGCCCCTCCTTGCTCTTCTCCGTGACACTAGGACTCCCTTGGTCTTGAAGCCGGGTGAGATTATCGGGGTTTGTTTCCCAATGACTTTGAGGTTTGACAGCAGAGCACATTCTCTGGCAGATGAGGGGGCCTGAGGCTTAGTCTCATTCCGTGATTAAAAGCATTTCTTGTATGTTTGTGCTTTCCCAGCCTGGAGTGGTGGGAATAAGGCCGCTATGTTGACTTAGTGGAAGGAAGGGCTGACTCACTGTACACCTTCCCTGTACGTTACCAGCTCGAGATCTCAGGATGCGTTGGACCCTATTTTGGTCTCCGGAATTTGTCATCATTCAGTGCTATTTTCCCCATTATGCAGAGGTGGAGAGGGATTGAGGCGGGGGCGGGCCCCTGTCTCCATGGAGACAGTGACGCTGCCCCGCTAGGGGTTATTTGGAAGTGGGGCAGACCTAGGAGGCTGAAGAAGGCCTCGGACTGAACTCCCCAGTCCCTGGTGTTAGGGCCTTTCTCTTTCTTGTGCTTGGGAACATTAGCCAGCTCCATTTCAGAGGGGAGAACTGAGGCTCAGAAGGGGCAGCGAATCCCCTTGGGTCACAATGCGCCCAAGGGAAGAGGCAGGATCAACTGAGCCTAAGATCTCGCGTCTTAGGCTTTCCCCCAGAACCTGGGAAGCCCTTCTTAGCTCCATTCTTCTTTGAGCTTACCGTCAAACAAATCCTAGGGCCCGTGGCCTTTTTGAGCGCTCCTAGAGTCGACTCTCCAAGACCTGCTCTCTAAGGTGCTCTTCCCCTTTAAGACTCACGGCTCTTCCCGTCAGGCTGCAACGCAGTCTTAAGGCCCCGCCTCTTCAGACAGCTTCCGCTGGGCCTGGGCCGCAGCAGGGCGGTCACGGCCCCTTTAAGTTTGAGCCCCGCCCCCTGACTCCCCGCCCCCCCTTCTCCCCTCCCCCAAGCCCGCACCTGGTGGCCCGGCGGGTCGTGCGGCGCGGCGCTCGGCGGTGAGCGCATGACCCGGAGGGGGCGCGGGACAGCGTCCCTGGGCCCTCCCCACCCTTGCGGTGGTCTCGCGGATCCCAGGGGCGGGGCTGGAGCGGCAGCAGGGCTGGGGAGATGGGCGGTGGGGAGCCGGGAGGGACCGGGCGGAGCCGGGGGAAGGGCTCCGGTGACTTAGGGGGAGGGAATGCCCCTCTGCGGTGCTCACCGTATGCTGGGGAGGCGGGGGCCTGGGTATGGTCGGGCTGTTTTCCCACTCTCCCTTGCCCGGGCAGTGTCCCCGTCCAGCCCGGTTGTTGAAGCGTCCCCGTAGTCCCCCGGGTTCCAGGCCCCTTTGTGGGGGCGGCTGCTGGCCCCCAGCCCATGAGACCGTAGTCGTGGAGGCCGCTGCAAAGGCACAGGCTGGAAGCGGTGGCCTTTGAGGGGGGCGGCAGGAGAGAGTACCGACCTCCCTCGAACTCCTGGCAGAGGTGGGGGTCACAGCAAAAGGCACTGGGGTGGAGGGCGGCCAGTGCGGGGCAGACGCCTGTGTGCCTTCCTCAGGTGCGGGCAGAGTTGTGGGTCTGGGAAGAGTCTGGCTTCGGTACTTCAGTTCCAAACCTCCTGTGTCCATCAGAGAGCTGGCGGTCACCATGGCAATGCGGGAGCTGGTGGAGGCCGAATGCGGGGGTGCCAACCCGCTCATGAAGCTAGCCGGGCACTTCACCCAGGACAAGGCCCTTCGGCAGGAGGGATTGAGGCCTGGCCCCTGGCCCCCTGGAGCCCCAGCCTCTGAGGCAGTGAGTGTTCTTGAGGTGGAAAGTCCAGGTGGTGGTCTGAGGTGGAGGGGCTGTTTGTACATGTTGGTATAACTGCTTTCTCTATTGTGTTGCAAATCATAGTAGTTACCACTTAATGAGCGTTTACTAAACACTAGAAAACCTTGTGCACCTTTAAATAAAGGCAACCATTTTATGGATGGACAAACCGAGGCTCAGATGCCTGTGGTCTTCATCAACCCCTCATTTTAAAGGAACTGCACCATTTTGCGTCTCTGTCTTTCTCTCTTAGGCCTCCAAGCCTTTGGGAGTAGCTTCTGAAGATGAGGTAAATAGACCAGTCTCTTTTCTGTCCCATTTTTCTCTTGCCCATTGTGTTTTTACCTTTAAACTTAGTTCACCCATATTTCAATTTTTGGGCTTTCCTGACCAAATGAGAATGCCTGCTTGTTTTTAAATGTATTTTTTTGTGCTTCTAAATCTATGCAAAGACAATTTCTGTTTGTGTGTCTCCAGTTTCTGTGTTTTCCTTTCCTTGTATCTGACATTGGGATCCCCCTCCAGTAGGTCCTGTCTTTTGCTGGGGCCTCCTGACCCTATGGGTTCATTTCATCATTTCTCTTCTGGCAGTTGGTGGCTGAATTCCTGCAGGACCAGAATGCACCCCTTGTGTCCCGTGCCCCTCAGACCTTCAAGATGGATGACCTCCTGGCTGAGATGCAGCAGATTGAACAGTCAAACTTCCGCCAGGCTCCCCAGAGAGGTGAGTCCGGAGTCTAGTGGGAGGGGAGATTGTTTTCCATGTAGCCAGGGCCAAGGAGGGGGGTTCCATTGGATGCTGCTGGCATTGGGGAACTGAGATGCAGAAGGAAACAGAAAAAGTAACAGAGTGTTTTCATGTGTACTCAGGGTTCTTTAGGCATGATGGAATGGTATGTATTGCTTCTGTCTTAGTTTTCTTTCTCTCTTTCTCTTTTAAGCGCCTGGTGTGGCAGACTTGGCCTTGTCTGAGAACTGGGCCCAGGAGTTTCTTGCAGCTGGAGATGCTGTGGATGTAACTCAGGATTATAATGAGACTGACTGGTCCCAAGAATTCATCTCTGAAGTTACAGGTGAAGCTTGTTATGGGAAAATCTATACTGGCTTCTATGGGGCAGAATTCTATGCCCTTCCCCTGTTCAGGGTGTAGCGTGATTATGATTTTTCTGGCCTCATGACTCATTTCTAGAGGGTTAGGGTACTGAACTCAATTTCCCTTAGGTGATAACAGAATGAAATGTATATTAAACAGAGGACTGGGTTTGTACTAGATAAGAGCTTTTGGATAGAGAGAACGAAGAGGTAGGTTGTCCTTTTTGTTACCTGGAGCTTTATCACTGTGGTTTGGTGGAGAGGATCTGCAGATTGGATGGATGGCAGTGTTGCTGAAGAGGAGAGTATTCACTGCGGCACCTGGGATTCTGGCATTAAGTTATTTTGAACAGAACTGGGGCCTTCAGAGTATTGTGACGTTCAAGTGCCTGAAATATGTGGTTTTAGAAGGTAAAGACCATACCATGATGATCATAAAAAAAATTAATAATGATAGTTATGTTCTAGGCCTTGTGTTACATGCTTTGAATGCATTGTCTCCTTACTCTCCTTGAGAGTAGTTACTGTTTTTAGACCTAGTTTAAAGATAAGAGAATTGAGGCTTAGAGGTGAAGTGTGCCCAAGGTTACACAGCTTTGTCAGTGGTAGAGTTGGGATTTGATCCTGGATTTGAAAGATTCCTGACCCTGCGGCCTTAACTGTGATGCTATACTGCCAGGCCTGCAATTTATGCTCTTCTTGCTTTGCTACAGATTTAAAGGTCGCAGCCTAATTTTTCCTCTTTGAAAGCATCCATTGCTCCCTGCATCTTTTATGATTGATTCTTCTTGCCCTAAGCCTATCTAATCAGGGACATGGTGGGAAGGGCAGTCTCTTCAGCTTTCCTCTTCCTGCTTGCTCTCAAAAGTTAGCCTTTTTCCAGTTTAAGAAATCAAGAATAACAAGAGATACACATGGAGAAAGTTACAGAGTTCCAGGATCTCGGGGAGTCCCATCATCATGGTTCCTGAATTTTTCTGAGGTGATTAAAGGGACTGGATTGGTTTCTACCCCCACCATTTTAATTTATGTTCTGTCTTGCTTTGCTACAGATTTCAAGGTCTCAGCCTAATTTTCCTTGAGAGCATCCATTGCTCCTTGCATCCTTTAGGATTGATTCTTCTTACCTTAAGCCTATCTGATCAGGGACAAATGTGTGTGAAGGAGGCCCATGTTTAGGATGGGCTTCTCCGCACACAAGAGAAAAACCCCAAATCTAAAAACTAAAACTCATCTTTAATAAGATCTGTGGGTCTGTTTTATCATGTGTCTCTTTCCCACCCATAAGTTGGAGGTAAGGTAGAACAGTAGGTGCTCTTGGCTTTGTTAATAGTGCTGAGCATTTTATCTTCTTAAGCTCATTAGAACTTCACAGTAACACTTACAAGGTGGATATTTTCCGCTCATTTTATAGATGAGGAGACTGAGATTTGGAAAAGTTAAATACTTTGTGCAAAATCATTGAATAATAGAGATGATACTCAAACTCATGTCTGTGTGACTCTTGAGATTCTTTTTTTTTTTTTTTTTTTTTTTGTTGAGACAGGGTCTTGGCTCTGTCACCCAGGGTGGAGTGCAGTGGTGTGATCTCTACTCACTGCAACCTCTGCTTCCTGGGTTCAAGGAATTCTCCCATCTCAGCCTCCTGAGTAGCTGGGACTACAAGTGTGTTTCACTATGCCTGGCTAATTTTGGTATTTTTAGTAGAGACAGGGTTTCACCATGTTGGCCAGGCTAGTCTTGAACTCCTGACCTTAAGTAATCCACCTCAGCCTCCCAAAGTGCTGGGATTACAAGCGTGAACCACTGCACCCTCCCTCAAGTTGAGATTCTTTGTGAAATTGCCACAAGTTAAAAATCTGAACCTCTCCTAGACAGAAACTCAGTTTTTCACATAAACCATAGACTTAAGTGCTATCTCTTATCACAGAGGGGCTTCTGTTGTAATGTGGGCATTAGTCATTTTTGATAACTCAAAAAAATCATTGCTACTATGAGCATTGAGATGGATGAAATTTTTGTTATAATTGCCTGAATTGCGTGCAGCCGGTAAAATCTTCCTTAACTTGAAATGCAAAACAACTTTAGAAAAACATGTTGGATCTGTCTCACTATTAAATGCTCTTAGTAGAGCTCTTCTAGTATTTTGTATATTCTTTGGGAATTGTGCCTGTTTCACAGAGGCAGAGGCATGCACACCTTAGAACTGGAATTGAGCTGTTTGAAGTCTGCCTTCATAAAAATGTCTTCTTGCAGCAATATATTGCTTTGCATGTAGCAGGCCTCTGGTATTGAATGAATGAATGGAGGTCTGGGAGAAAAAGCTAAAGGAAAGGAGTTGGTTTTGTCATAACTGACTTTTTTTTATTATCCTTCATTTTTAATTATAGCATTTGTGGCTGATACATCAATTGTGTAGGTTAACTGTGGTTTTATAGATAAGTAGATTTTGAGATGAAAGAAGGCTATACTCTTTAAGTTCTTATTTTAAAATCTTCGTTGTTAAGAGTAAAAATCAACTTTAAAAAGAACTTTGCAGCTCAGTTATTTAAATTTAAATTTTTTATTTGGAAGTACTTAGTTTCCCTGGAAGTTGCAAAAAAAAAAAAAAGTATAGGAAGGTTCTGTGTACCCTTTACCCAATCTCCTCCAGTGGTAACATTTTACGTAACAGTTATGCAGAGATCAAAATCAAGAAATTGCCCTTGTTTCAATCATCAGAGTTCTTTAGGTTTTACCAGTTTCACATGCCCTTATTTGTGTGTGTGTTTTATGCAATTTTATTAAATGTGTAGATTTGTGTAAGCACCATCACGATCGAGATACAGAACTATTCTCTCACCACATGAAGCTCATTTTTTTAGCTTACCTTATTTTGTGATGGAATTCCCCTGTCTTAAGTCTTCTGGGCCAAAAAATCTTGTGTTTGCTCAGATCTGGAGATAAAACA